ATGTCTGCAGTCAGACATAAGGCGTCAGTTGTTTGGGGGGGTGGGGGCTGGGGGGGGGTCGTGAGGACCATGTTGTCCCTAAGGCCCCGACAACAAAAAAACCAAAGAGAAGAGACATAAATATTAATGTCAGAAAGTTTGATATCATTGATGCATGACTGAGTCTGAGGCAGAGAGTGACACCTGTGTGTGGGAGGGTGAACTACAGCAGGAGTGACACCTGTGTGTGGGAGGGTGAACTACAGCAGGAGTGACACCTGTGTGTGGGAGGGTGAACTACAGCAGGAGTGACACCTGTGTGTGTGTGTGTGTGTGTGTGTGTGTGTGTGTGTGTGTGTGTGTGTGTGTGTGTGTGTGTGTGTGTGTGTGTCAGGCTCTTCACTGAGACACTGAGAACAAATCAAAGTCATTTGTTTTCCGTGACTGAATGACCTCTGGTACTGGTTTGTCGTTACACCTGCTCCAGCAGAGGGCAGCAGCAGCAGTCCGACTCTGCTCAGATCAGCCACACGTTTTGATTTCCTCTTTTCTCCCTCCAGTGATAATTCTGGACACCACGGAGTCCACCGCAGAGCTGGGCTGGACCACATATCCAGACACGGGGGTAAGAAGACGGGCTAATACTTTTTATCTTTGTTTATTAGTGTATTTAGCGTATAGCATGTAAGCTAACTCTGTGTGGACCAGGGTGTAAACGACCGTGTGACCTTAATTCTCATCATTTCTTTTCCTGGACCACCGCGCTGCCACCACACCATCACAACTGTGTGTGTGTGTGTGTGTGTGTGCGTGACTATGCTGGGGTCAGCTCCCAGGTCAGTTAAATCCACTGGTCTGTGACTGATTGTAGGTCAGCTCTAATATGGCTGATAGTTATTCTCCTCCTCCTACGTCAGCCTACTGGGAGAAACTGGGCCTCCACACATGTGGCCTACTTTTTCTTTCCACTGGCACCGTCTCAGAACCATATTAATCCAGGTCTCCCCTCCATAAATGGAGGACACACCAGGAGGTGGACAGAAACCCTGGGTCCAGGGTCGGTACCAGCAAAGGTCCAAGTGCTGCTTTATAAGTGTTTAAAAGTAACCAATGATATTTGAGAAGAACCGGCCGGTCATCAGAATCTTCAGTTGTACCGTGACCAGCCCTGACCAATCACAACACACAGACTGACAAGCAGGAGAAGAAGCTAAAGCTAACAGGTGGTTAGCCAATGTCAAAGTCAGTTCTGGGAACACGCTGATGTTCCAGCTGTAGAGTGTGGAGTAGAGGAGCACTTCCTTTTGGACCTGAGGTCACGGAGGACGGACAGACTGATGGACGGCCGGACAGACTGACTGACTGATGGACGGACGGACAGACTGACTGACTGACTGATGGACTGACGGACAGACTGACTGACTGATGGACGGACGGACAGACTGACGGACGGACGGACTGACGGACAGATTGACAGACTGATGGACTGATGGACAGACGGACAGACTGACTGACAGGCTGACTGACAGACTGATGGACTGATGGACAGACGGACAGACTGACTGACGGATGGACTGACGGACAGACTGACGGACAGACTGATGGACTGACGGACAGACTGACTGACAGGCTGACTGACAGACTGATGGACTGATGGACTGATGGACAGACGGACAGACTGACTGACAGACTGACTGACAGACTGATGGACTGACAGATGGACTGACAGATGGACTGACAGACATCCTCCTCCGCCTGTTTTGTTTTTCCGTGTTGCTTTTTTACTTCCCTCTTCCTTCCGTGTTTCTCAGTGGGATGAGGTCAGCGTCCTGGATGACCAGGGGAAACTGATCCGCACCTTTGAAGTCTGTAACGTCAACCAAAACCCCCGTCTCCAGGACAACTGGTTGGCTACACCCTTTCTGTACCGACAGTCTGCTCCGCGGGTGTTTGTCACACTGCGATTCTCAGTGCGTGACTGTGGGAGTCTGCGGTCACCGTCACCCACCTGCCGAGAGACCCTCACCCTCTACTACAAACAGGCCGACTCCCAGAGGGCGCTGCAGAGAAGCTGGGTGACGGAGGTGAGCCACAGGACCAGTCACCTTGACTGGTACAGTCATACTGGTACAGTGATACTGGTACTGTCATGATGGGACAGTCATACTGGTACAGTCATACTGGTACTGTCATACTGGTACTGTCATGATGGTACAGTCATCCTGGTACAGTCATACTGGTACTGTCATACTGGTACTGTCATGATGGTACTGTCATGATGGTACAGTCATACTGGTACAGTGATACTGGTACTGTCATGATGGGACAGTCATACTGGTACAGTCATACTGGCACTGTCATGATGGTACTGTCATGATGGTACAGTCATACTGGTACTGTCATACTGGTACTGTCATCCTGGTACAGTCATACTGGTACTGTCATACTGGTACTGTCATCCTGGTACAGTCATACTGGTACTGTCATGATGGTACAGTCATCCTGGTACAGTCATGATGGTACAGTCATCCTGGTACAGTCATGATGGTACAGTCATCCTGGTACAGTCATGATGGTACAGTCATCCTGGTACAGTCATGATGGTACAGTCATACTGGTACAGTGATACTGGTACTGTCATGATGGGACAGTCATACTGGTACAGTCATAATGGTACAGTCATACTGGTACTGTCATGATGGTACAGTCATACTGGTACAGTGATACTGGTACTGTCATGATGGTACAGTCATACTGGTACAGTGATACTGGTACTGTCATGATGGGACAGTCATACTGGTACAGTCATAATGGTACAGTCATACTGGTACTGTCATGATGGTACTGTCATGATGGGACAGTCATACTGGTACAGTCATAATGGTACAGTCATGATGGTACAGTCATACTGGTACTGTCATACTGGTACAGTCATGATGGTACAGTCATACTGGTACTGTCATACTGGTACTGTCATGATGGTACAGTCATACTGGTACAGTGATACTGGTACTGTCATGATGGTACAGTCATCCTGGTACAGTCATACTGGTACTGTCATGACGGTACAAACAGGTTCTGTGATGTCACACCTGTTCTGATACATTGACTAAATTCACTGTCCACTCGTTGACCCTCCTGCTCCTCTTCCTGCTCCTCTTCCTGCTCCTCTTCCTGCTCCTCTTCCTGCTCCTCTTCCTGCTCCTCTTCCTCCTCCCTGCAGCCGTCCAGCAGAGACAGAGAAACCAAAGAGGGCTGGGTGAAGATCGACACCATAGCGGCTGACAAGAGTTTCTCCAAGGTAGAACCCAGTTCTCCGCACCAGTACCAACCCAACAGGTACAGCCGCATCAACGTGAAGACCCTCAGCTTCTCACCTCTCACCAAGAACGGGTGAGTTTCACTGCTGCTCCTCGTTACTCCTTCTTCATGAGTCCTGTCCGTACCAGAGGTCTAAGTGCTGCCCCCCTGTGTCAGGTTCGTCCTGGCTGTCGTGGACAGTGGAGCCTGCGTTTCCCTCATGGGCGTGACCGTCTTCTACCGCCGATGTTCAGCCACCAGTCTGTATCTGGCTTCTTACCCCGCCACTCCTTCAGGGGCTGAAGCCACAGCTTTAGTCTCAGTGACTGGGACGTGTGTGCGCAACAGTAGAGCACAGGGGGGGGCGCCCCCGCGCATGCACTGCAACGCCGAGGGAGAGTGGATGGTGCCTGTGGGCGAGTGTGTCTGTGACCAGGGCCACGAGCCCAACCAGAATGGATCGGCCTGTTTGGGTGAGTCTGGGGGACAAGGGGGGACAAGAGGGAGTGAAGGGGGGGGGACAAGAGGGGGATAAGATGGTGATGTTTGTTGAACAGACGTTGTTGTTGTTGTTGTTATTGTTGGTTACACTGAGCTATTTTTAGAACAGTGCTGCTGGTATTCCTGTGACAACCACAAGCCCTGGGGCGCAGCACTGGGACCACTGCATCCATCATCCATCCATTCATCATGCATCCATCATCCATCCATTCATCATCCATCCATCATCCATCCATCCGTCATTCATTCAAACCATTGACTTTTGAACTTTTTTAGTTTCGTATAAGTGAATCTTGTCAACACTTTTACTTCAAACCTCCACTGAAGAAAAAAAGGATTTATTTATTGTTGATTTTCTCTGCCCCTTGAATGGGCCCCATCCCCAGTTTGGGAACCTCTGATCTAGGAAGATGTTTTGCACCATACAGGTGAAGAAGAGCGGAGGAACAGTCGCTCACTTCACACTGTTCTTCTGTTGGTTCCTACAACAGTCGTTGCTCTGTTTGACTGTAGTGCTTTTTGTTGTTGACGTGGTTTGAGCTGCACTGTTACTGATCAGAGCAGGAGCGCGGTGGGGGGGGGCCGGGGTGGGGGTGAAGGGGCGGCGGAACCATTAGGGCAGCACGATGT